CTTCCTATAGTAACTCATTTCTGCTGGAAGGTCCAAGAAAGAGAGTAGGAAATGAAGAAAGGCTGTGATAGAGTGATCGAGCGGAAAGGGGAATAGATGGAAGAATACAATGTGCCCTACAAGCAGAAAAGTACAGTCAACCAGTCAATCTCACAGCTTGTCCCGCGAGAGTGAATTTTTGCTCACCCAAAAAAAAAAAAAAAACTAACTCAAAGTAACTTCACTGGAGAATATTTTGCCTGAATGGATGAGAATTCATGTCGATGCGCAAAACGGCAGAGATCCTCACAGGCCTCGAGGTCTGTTGGGAACTCTTGCCCTGCGCTTGTTCTTTTCGTGTGAAGAAGCATGCAGCTTCGTCTAGACTCTTAAATTGAACATGTGTCCATTATTTATGTTTCAGTAAAAGTAGGGAAGTCACCAATGGGAATTTCTGATGCCGGTTTAAGCCAATCTCTACGATTTATTGTACCCCTACTTCATATCTTTAACCCATTCAGGGACAGCGGTCACTACAATGGACAACCTATCATGCTCTCAGGTTACAGGTTATCATTATTGGTGCATGAAAGGGTTAAACTAACAATTGTGAATCTAAGGATGGGAAAGTTAGTATCACAGCAGCAACGCTACTAGATCACGAGCAAATATTCGTTTGTGGCACTGCTAGAGGAGCATGGATGTACACGGCAGGGGTATTATCATTGGATATTTGTGTTTTGTTGTTGATGTTGTTTTTTTTTCTTTCCTCTTTTATCCATGTAATTGTTTTTATGTACACAACATAGGGAAATAAAATAACCAAAATCGGGATACTGCATCTTGTCCATATATTTACCAGAGCACGATATCATATATGACATTGTAACATAGTGTATATCATTTGAATGACTTAATTCCCTCACCCAGAAAAAAATAAACGATAAAGAATCAGATCGATAAGCAGTATTGATAATGGAATGGGAAACATTCAATTCTTATCAATTCCCATCCCGAAATTGTGGCTGTCTTTATAAAATTGTTGACCGGTGGCGACTATCATGCAAAAAAAAAAAAAAAAAATCTGAACAAGCCGATAAAATTGGGTTCCATTTTTCCAGTTTGTTCAGTGATGAGCAGGACACTTTATCTCCGAGTGCATTAACTTTGTTTGAATTTGGTCAGTTCAGCACAGCAAGGAGCCACTGTTGGCCCACTTTCAGATTAGAGATGCCAAGACACACTGTCACTTTGCTCGGCCAAGAAGCCCAGTGATTTGGCCTCGCTTCTATTTTTCATCATCATTTTCAGTTTAACCTTTACTTGAACTACCCTAAGTTCACCGCAGTAATTCTTCAATTTTAAAGAATCGCACACCCGCAAATCTGACGCAAAGCTACCTTGGAAAAGTGTGGGCGTTCGGGGCTTTTCAGTCGCTTGAGCTGTCATAAAGCTGAGTTGATAATGGAATTTTCATTGGGTGAATAGTTCTCTTTCGCCCTGTGAGGTGGACTTGCATGCACAACGCCGTCATGATCCGCAGCCTAACTGCTGCGGAATCGACGCGTTTGGTCTATTTGGCCTAAATTGAGGCTGCTGTCAGTTCAAATTGGCCATCAATGTATTCGCAGTAGCATAGTTGGTCAGTGGGCTGTGCCAGGGGACAAGCTGCTACAGCCGGCAGGCCAGAGTGGAGGATTAAATGATTATCTTCAAGGTGTTCGAACAGCATTAGGCCATAAGCCAAGCTTATTAGACAACATACCTCTGCCACACATCACACATGTCCACTAGACGGACAACAAAACATTTGCAACTTTCACATACATGAATCTCATTTAAATATGAAATATATATCATTAACCCTTTTGAAGGCGGCATGGTGGTCGACTCTCAGTGCAGAGGTTCAGCGTTCGATTCTGGCTCCGGCCTTCCTGTGTAGAATTTGCATGTTCTCCCCGTGCCTGCGTGGGTTTTTCTCTGGGTACTCCGGTTTCCTCCAGCATTCCAAAAACATGCATGGCGGGTTAATGGAACACTCTAAATTGTCCCTAGGTGTGAGTTTGAGTGCGGGTGGTCGTTCGTCCCTGTGCGCCCTGCGACTGACCCAGTCATCTTCCGGCCGTAGACGGGGTACACCCTGAAATGGTTGCCAGCCAATCGCAGGGCACACATTGACCAACAACCATCCACGCTCACACTCACAACTAGGGACAATTTAGAGTGTCCTATTAACCTGTCACGCATGTTTTTTGTAACGTGGGAGAAAACCGGAATACCCAGAGAAAACCCACACAGACACAAAAAGAACATGCAAACTCCACACAGGAAGGCTGGAGCCGAAATCAAACCCTGCACCTCTACGCTGTGAGGTGGACGTGCTAACCAATTGTTTGTTTGTTTGTTTGTTTGTTTACTTCCCCTCTGCAAAGTAAATCATTTTTCATTTCAGTTGAACTGTACATGTGATAGGTCACATACTGTAAATGGTGGTGTGGGGGGGGGAGTCTTGAAATGATTTATTATGGTCTTCCTCGCTTTTATATGGGCGATGTGTTCCATGCTACAACAACCATGCTTCAAGTCCCATTTTCCCAAAGGTGTATTGATGATTGAAAATTTTAGACCCTAATAGTAAAGACAATCAATCTTAACCAATCCCCACTAGCCACCTTCATAAATCTAAATGGCATTTCACGTTATGATAATAGATTCGCCATTCAGCCATTTGTAAATGTCATACTTGGCCTTCCCCTCCCATTCCACACACATTCCCGCACGTGTCCATGGAGGTTTTCATACTTTCTGCTCACTCTACTCTCCAAACTGTAATCCGAACACGCCAACAAGGAGAGAAAATGTAACCTGGCCTGAGAACAGTAATCCCGTCAACCTGGAATCCTCCCCCAAAATAGCAGTACAGATCATCAAAAAAATAAAGTAAATCCTCAATCACGGGAGGATGAATCCAAAAGTCATGATGAGATGGTAATTTACATTTCAACAGTTTCACACTGCAGTGGTGCTGCATTCTTTACAAACAGGAATATCAATGGCAGCTTCATTTGGTGTGGTGAATAATCCCACCAATGTATTCCCACACTGTCTCCATTCAGTGGAAACAGAGATTAGAAATTCAAACAACATCCCTTATTAACAGCTCCAAGAAGCCTTGCACCATGTCTAACATATTTCCACACATTCCTTCTTCAGTCATGTTTTTCTCTTAGAACTTTAACCATGATTTGAGTCTGTCGAGCTCCACTACGCCACCAAAAAATATGTTTGATGCCTTTCCACTGCCCTCCATAATTATTGGCAACCCTGGTTAACATGTGTTCTTCGGCTTCTTATAAATTCATTTTTTTCTTCCTCTAAATAATATAGGGCCAAACTTGAACACAAGAGGCAAAGCCAACCTTTGTACAACCCCATCCAGTTTGTCAACAAAACAGCACTTAATCTTTTTCAATGTTTCACAAGATGTGAGAATGCAGAAAGAGTGATCTTGGACCATCTTTCTTTGCACAGTCCCTCTAAATCCTCCAGCGGTCTCTGTCCTCTCCTCTGCACTTTCCTCTTTAGCTCACGCCACAGCTTTTCAATGGAGTTGAGGTCTGGGGATGAGATGGCCATGGGAGGGGTTTGATTCTCTAACTGTGAACAATTTCTACAGTTTTCAGTGTGAGCATATGCTTCTGCAATAAATAAAAAGTGAATTTGTGTTCAGGCTTTTAACAGATTTTAACCAATTGTGCCAATAATTATAGATTCGCCAGAAAAGCTACCGTTTTGTTTTGTTTTTTCTAAATTGTGAAATGCAATTAGTGGAAACTCACTTGAAAAAGCATGAGATTTTTTTTTCAGGAATTGTAAAGAAAATAAGCCCCAACCCTAAAGATAACCCTTTTGCACATCTTGTGCCGCCCCACAACATGAAATGGCCATATTAATGCTTATCCAAAATTCGTAAAGCTTTGTGAATAAATATATGCACAACGATTGCTCAAAACTGACATATTTGCAAGGGTTTCTTGCAAACAAAAAAATTTTGATAGTCAATGAATCATATGTATTTTCTTTTAAAATTATGGTAAAACAGTGTTATGTCTGCCATGCCGGCTGCGCTGTACAAAAAAAATGTGTCAGTCACTTTTGAGGGATCAGTATTGCTGTACTGCCACAGTCTTGATGAGGCCGGGATGAAAATATATTTTGAAAAAAAGCAAGCGCTGCATAAATTACTGTATTTTAATGCCCTTTGGAACATAGTGTGCAATTCTGATTTTGTGAGTGAAACTCAACAGACTCACCCTCTCCCACACTAAACCTTATCTCCGCTTTCAGAATCTATTCCTCCCCAAAAAAAGAATGTCTGATCTGAAAACTCTCGCTTACAGTAAGATTTGGTTCGGTAAGACACTTGAAAGGGCTTTGAAATGAATACGCCACAACTGTAAAACCCCTGCCAGCTTTAAGATTACGGCAAAGTAGTACTTGTAAATTCCATCGTGTGAGTGTCTTTTGAATGTAAGATGCCAAATTGCCTCCAGACCTTATCGTAAGATTTTATACATAAGCAAATGAGCTGTAATTAATGGAAATGGCTATAATTGGATGTTCTTCAAAAAAAAAACAAAAAAAAAAACACTCAACTGTGCCATCTTTGAAACTATGACAAGTTAGAATGTGGAATGGTTGGGAGTGGAGTATAGGAGTCCCTAAATCCCGCAATCCTTTTTTGGGATTCCGAAACAAAATACACATTCTACGATCTAATTTAGCAATGAAGCCACACCACCAAAGACTCCCCCCCCAACTCTCTCTCCCTCCCAACCCACAAAAACAAGCTCGCTGCATAATTAACATAAATGAGGCTTATTCCGTCATGAAATGTAAACGTGATCAAAGCGAGCCAGACAGCTGCACAGATTCCACGTGCAACAAACAAAAGATGGGCTTCCCCGTGCGCGCGTTTGTGTGCGTGCGTGCGTGCGTGCGTGCTGCGTGCGTACGCTTACCGCACAGCAGCTGCATCCAGGCGCAGGTCTTGTACACGGTGGAGGTGTTGCAGAAGAAGAAGAGTGCCATGCAGGCGATGCAGCCGATGATGAGCACCATGGAGAGCAGCACGAACACCGAGGCCGCCTTGAAGGCTCCTGATGGGATGGAGCTGAAGTCGGAGAAGCTGCCCACGCAGGTGAGCTCCCGGCTGGGCGATGGCCCGGTGCCCACGCAGTAGTGGAAGAGGCCGAAGTAGCCGACCTGCTGCGTGTTGACGCTGTCGCCGATCCAGTAGGGCTGGATGAAGACCACCACGTTGACGATGGCGAAGCAGATGGTGAAGATGGCCCACAGCACCCCGACGGCCCGCGGGTTGTAGTTGTAGTTGTAATTGCCGTGATAGATCTTGGAGGCTTCTTGGGAAGGCAACATGTTTGCTCCTCTTCTTTAAAAAAAAAGAAAGAAAGAAAGATAGAAATCTCCCTCTTTCTTTACGCCCCCGTCCTCTGCCCCTGTACACCTTCCCAAAAAAGGAAATCAAACCCACACAAAAAAGACACTTTTCACCATCCACTTAATGGCCAAGCTGGATGTGGCTCTTTCTCCAATATAGGCCGAGTATGACGGATAAAATGCTACGTGGAAAAAATACAAAAATCATTGCCTACCTACAGTAGCCTACTAATGAATAATTCACCACGACAAGTGATTTAACATTGCTCGTTTTCCTTGGGGCCACACCATGAATGATTAAAAACAAAAATCCATAAAAAAAAAAGGGGGGGGGGGGTCTTTATTTCACAGTCTTCGGCTCGACGTTGTCATTTAAAGCGGCTTTCCGTGCTCCATCAGCCCAGTAGATGTTTTCATGGTGTCCATCGAGCGTCCAAGAGGGGTGAATGGAAATACTGTCCTATTTCGTCCCTTTTTTTTTAATTTACCTTCCCGTGCATCCGTGGGGTACTCCCCGACTCTGTCTCGCCTAGATGGCTACGTAAGATGTGCAAATGAAGCCGAAGGAGGGAAAATAAACGATAGAGGAGGAGAAAAGGGTCTAGGATGCAGGAGACCGAGAAGAGGCGTAATCTCGAAGAAGCCTCCTCTGTCAAATTCGAGCAGTCCTTTCTTGTAAATCCACAATTCTCCACCGCCTCGACTCCATCATCATCATGTTTCTCACCGGACAGTCTTTATCCTCAACGTCTATCCCCCCCGCCGCCTCCCCCCTCTCTCCTTTTCTCTCTTGATATTTCTCTCTCGCTCGCTCTCTCCTCCGTCCTCCTCCTCCTGCTCTCGCTCCTCTGCGCGCACCCCGGGAAGACGCTGATGTTTGTACTGATGACAGCGAGGGGGCGCGTTCACGTGCGCGGCCAGGGTAGGCGGGGGGTGTTGGAGTGCGGGGTGAGGGCGGGG